AAAAAAGTTTGAAAACAGTTACAAGCATTATTGAATGAAGATGCATGTCAAATTCAAAAACAACTTCCAGAAAGATTAAACGTTGCTCAGCAAACAATTTCCAATGGGAAAGATTTTAAAGGAAGGAAAATGGGTGCCACATCAACTGAATGAAAGACAAATGGAAAACGGGAAAGTCATCAGTAAAATGTTGCTTCAGTGGCACAAAAGAAAGTCTTTTGCATCCAATTGTGAATGGCGATGAAAAGTGGATTTATTTTGAGAATCCCAAATGCACAAAATCATGGGTTGATCCAGGTCAACCATCAGTATCAACTGCAAGGCCAAATCGCTTCGGAAAGAAGACAATGCTTTGCATTTGATGGTATCAGGAAAGTGTGGTGTATTATGAGCTTTTAAAATCAGGTGAAACTGTTAATACTGATCGTTACTGACAACAAATAATCAATTTGAACCATGCTTTGATCCGTGAAATGATCATGGCAAGGTAATTTTGCTTTATGATGACACACCATCACATACTTCAAAACCAGTTTAAGACACGTTAAAAGATCTTGCCTGGGAAGTGTTAACCCACCTGGTGTGTTCACCAGATCTTGCTCCTTCAGATTATCACTTGTTCTGATTGGTGGCACACACACTTTCTGAGCAGCCCTTCAAAACATACAAAGAAATGGAAAATTGGGTTTCTGAATGGTTTACCTCAAAACAAGAAAAGTTCTTTGGGATGGTATCCACAAATTACTTGAAAGATGGGGAAATGTGGTAGCTAGCAATAGTCATTACTTTGCATAAAGCACTTTTAATGTTTCTCTTGAAATTATCATGATTTCTTTTATTACAAAATCCATATTATTAACTGGTATACCTAGTATTTTTAAAATTTTTTTTGTTTTGTTTGGATAAATACTCAGAATTGGAATTGCTAGGTCTTTCTATGTTGTTACAGCCTTTGTTTTAAAGTCTACAGCTGTTGAATGTGTTGCTCCTTCAGCTTTCTTCAGATTTCTATTTGCATAAAATACCTTTTCCTTTACTTTAGTCTGTGTGTCTTTCCATTTGAAGTGAGTCTATTATAGATAGAATATATATATGGGTATTGCTTTTGTATCTATTCAGCCATTGCTGTCTTTTAATATGAAGATTTAATCCATTAACATGTAAAAACTTTTGATAGGTATGTAGTGATTACCATTTTATTACTGATATTTTTTATTTTTTCTTCTCCTTAAAGAAGTCTCTTTTAACATTTCTTGTTTGTTTGTTTAAATATATTTTCATTGATTTCAGAGAGGAAGGGAGAGGGAATAACTGTCTTTCTCTTGCATGCCCCACTAGATATCAAGCCCACAACCCAGGCATGATCTCTGACCGGCAATCAAACTGTGACCTTCTAATTCATAGATCAATGCTTAATTCTAGTTCATAAGGTTGATGCTCAACCACTGAGCCATGCCTGCTAGGGCCTTTAACATCTATAATAATAAAAGCATAATATGCTAATTAAATCGGACGACTTTTCTGAATAAGTTGGGGCTGCAAGGGAAGCCCGGGTCCTGGGTGCCAGAGGGAAGCCAGTGTAGCAGCTGGGGGAAAGAAGGCCTACTCTTGCATGAATTTTGTGCATCAGGCTTCTAGTCCTATTTAATAAAAGAGTAATATGCAAATTGACCTTACCTCAGCTATATCCACAAGCCACGCCCAGAAGCCAATCAGGAACAAATATGCAAATCCAACCAAGATGGCTGCAGCCACGGAGAGCAGGAGGGAGGCTTGGGTTTCCCTGGCAATGGAGGAAGCCAAGCTTTCCGCCTGCCCTTGCCGGCCTACTCCTCCACTCAATGCTACAAAATTTCAATGATAGAAGATAAATTCCAACAAAAAAATGGGTGTGGCCACAGAGCTGGAGAGAGCAGGAGGCTAGGGTTGCCCCCGGCGATGGAGGAAACCAAGCTTCTGCAGCCCTGGCCAGCCTACACCTCTGCTTAAGACTACAAAGTTTCAATTATAGAAGATAAATCCCAACAGAAATGGCTGCCACCACCGGGTGAGCAGAAGTCTTGGCTCCGCTCCAGGCTACCAACTTTCAATTGTAGAAGATAAATCCCAGCTACCAGGGCCTCTGCTTGGTTCGCTGGGACACGTGGCCAGCCTACAAACTACCATAGGCCCCTCGCCCAGGCCACCCATACCCTAAGGGAATCCCCACCCTGAACTGGGACACCCTTCAGGGCAAACCAGCTGGCCCTCACCCATGCACCAGGCCTCTATCTTATCTAATAAAAGAATAATATGCAAATTGACCATCACTCCAACACACAAGATGGCTGCCCCCATGTGGACACAAGATGGCTACCATAAGATGGCTGGCAGTTGGGAGGGACCAGGCCTGCAGTGGAGGGCAGTTAGTAGCAAACAGGCTGGCAGGGGAGTGGTTAGGGGCAATCAGGAAGGCAGGCAGGCAGGCTAGCAGTTGTGAGCCAGCAGTCCTGGATTGTGAGAGGGATGTCTGCCTGCCCTAAGGGATCCCAGGTTAGAGAGGGTGCAGGCTGGGTTGAGGGACACCTCCCCACACCCCTGTGCACAAATTTCATGCACTGGGCTTCTAGTAATGAACTCCTGGGTAGAGTATTCTTGGTTGTAGATGCTTGATTTTCATTTCTTTTAATATTTCTTACCACTCCCTTCTGGTTTGCAAAATTTCTGCGGAGAAATCAGCTGACGGTCTTATGGGAGCTTCCTTATAAGTAAATAACTGTCTTTCTCCTATTGCTTTTAAGATTCTTTCTTTGTCTTCAACCTTTGCCATTTTAATTTTTAAAAAATCTTTATTGTTAAAAGCATTATATATGCTCCCCTTTTCCCACCCCCTCTCCCACTGAGCTCTTCTAGCCTGCCCCTACCCCTGACCCAGGCCTTGACCACTCTGTTGCCAGTGACACCATGGGGTTACCTGCATTTATACATAAAAGTTCTTTGGTTAATCTCTTCCCATCCACATACCCTTTTCTGCCTTCTCTGTGAGATTCAATAGTCTGTTCTGTGCTTCTGTGTCTCTAGATCTATTCTCATCAGTTTGTTTTATACATTAGATTCTATGTATGAGTGAGATCATGTTATGTTTATCTTTCTCTAACTAGCTTAGCATAATACTTTCACTTAGCATAACACTCTCCAAGTCCATCCATGCTGTTGCAAATGGTAAGAATTCCTTTTTTTTCCTTCCCTTTTTTTTTCAGTTGCATAGTGTAGTATTCCATTGTGTAAATGTACCACATGCCATTTTAATTGTGACATGTCTTGCCTGTGGGTCTTTTTTAGTTCATCTTGATTGGGACTGCACTTCTAGGACTTGTGTAGCTTTTTCCTTCACTAGGTTAGGGAAGTTTTCAGTCATTATTTCTTCAAATATGTTCTTAATCCCTTGCTCTCTCTGTTCTTCTAATAATCCTATGATGCAGATGTTGTTACCCTTTTCGCAAAGGTTCCTTATTTTTTAAAAATAGTCTTTTTCATCTTTCTGCTCTCATTGAATATTTTCTGTTGCCTTATCTTCCAAATTGCTGATTTAATCTTCTGCTTCCTCTAATTGGCTATTGATTCCTTCTAGTATATTCTCCCCTTCAGGTAGAGTGTTCTTTTTTTTTTTGACTGGTTCTTTTTTATGCTTACTATCTCTTTGTTGGAAGTTCTCACTGAACTCATCTGTTTTTTTTCCTAAGTTCCTTGAGAATCCTTATAACCATAGTTTTGAATGGCATCTGAGGATGATGTAGAAGAGGAGACTTGATGGATGTCCCTTCAGCTCTCTCCTTGAAGCCGCACAACCCAGTCTCTACCTGGATGAGTCCCATTCACTTTGAGCCTCCCTCCTGTCAGATCCCAGGGTGAGGTGGCTGTGAACCAGATTTTGTGCATTGGCCCTTTAAGAGGACATCTGAGTTTTTAGCCAACTCCTGTCTCTCCTTGGCAGACAGAATCCTCACAGGTTTTGCCAGCCAGATGCTGTGTGGACTTCTTTTCCCCAGTACTGGTTGGTGCTCAGTTTTGGGTAGCCCATCAAGGGGTTGAGACCCTTCACTCCTCAGGGGGAACCTTAGAAGCTGTGATATCTTTGGATTTTCAACCGACACACATGAGCCCAGGGCCAGCCATGCCTCCATACTTTCTACCAGTCTAGATGTGGCTTCTTTTGAAAGTCATTGATTATAAGACTTTTGTTCAGCTAGTCTTCAATTGGTTATTCAGGCTGTTCGTTCTATATTTTAGTTGTAAATCCACTTTGGTCCTGGGAAGAGGTGAGTGTAACTTCTACCTCCTCTGCCTCCATCTTTAATCCATCGAAATTCTTATTTTATTAAAATGTTATCTGGGTTCCAGTATTTCACAGATCTGTTATTAAATCTCATTTAAATGAGACATGAATTAATGTCATTTAAAGTAAAAATCATCCTGGCCAGTATGGCTAAGTGGATGGAGTATTGTCCTATGCATTGAAAGGTCACTTCTTTCTCTCCTTTGCCTGAGAAACTCTACCACAGCTCTTCCTCTCTCTTGTTAAATAGGTGAGTAAAGGGCAGGGAGGAAGGGCATCCACTTTGTCTAGCAGAGGCCTTTCCTCTAGGCTGTGGTCTTGGTTGCTCTCTAGGCTCTACTTGGCAGCTCTTGACTGTTTCATCTGCCCTGTGTCTAAGCTGATGATGCATGCTGAGATTTGCAGCCAGAGTCTGGTATGTGTGTGTTAGGTCTCAGTGAAAGAAATTTCCCTGAAGTAATCATCCCAATTCATCAGGCCTTATCCTTGTGGGCATCTAATTAAGTGGATTTGTCTTCTAATACCAATTTGGTGGTTAAACTGTAATTCTGGTGTCCAACCAGGTAATTACATGGCTTTTCTTCCTCAAGATGTACTTTTCTGGAGTCTTGTGTCCAGCAGCTTGCCTTTGCAGGCCATACAGCCTACGATGGCAGCTAAATGTGTGCTATTTTTGTCTTTGCAGGAATGAGCTAGAGCGACAGTTTCTTGAATTGCTCCAGTTCAACATCAATGTTCCCTCCAGTGTTTATGCCAAGTATTATTTTGATCTTCGTTCTCTGGCAGAAGCAAATAACCTGAGCTTTCCTTTGGAGCCCCTGAGCAGGGAAAGGGCTCACAAGCTTGAGGTAATGTATTTTAACATACTGCTTTTGGGTTCACTATTGTCAACTCATCTAGGTGCCATGGAAGGGTAAAGGGAGTAATTACAATGTTGATTTCTCCCACTGTGTTGTTATGAAATAAGGGAAAGATACCCTGGATTTAGAAGTTATCAGTTAATTTAATGATAATTTGTACAACCTTATATTTTCAATAACCTTCTCAATATCAGTTTTTTAATGTACATTGATTCTATTTTTTAAATCAAATGTTTTTTAAGCTTCAGTTTTTAAAAAATAAATCCACAAAAAATGATTTCCCAGCATACACTTGTATAAGGAAAAAGATACTAGAAGGCCCTAATTAATAGGAATCCAAAATTATTGATTCTGCTTTTTAGTTTTTCAAATTATTTTCCCCATAGCCCAGTTAGAGTTAGGGCTAGCCCCTTTGGCCTTGGTCTGGGTTAAAGGTCTGCATTGTTAAGTTGTATGAATTTTGTGTCTTATATACTTATATGGAGCTAGGCTCCATATTTGTACCTAGGTCTTGACCCATTGTTTCAGAGCAGTGTGTGGAGGACCTCTGCATTTCCATTTCAAGGCACCATAGTGGCCTCATTCTGCTTTGACCAAAGCAGTAGACAGTATAGTCATGTCTCAAGATTGGTGAGCCCCAAGAGGTCCATACCTCATTTTCCATCCTGGGTGAAACATCCTCCCCTGGCTAGTATTGATCAAGGTGGCCAGAGTGATGGTCTAACAGGATTAACGGTGTGAACAAAATAAGGTCTAGAGGTGGGAGGAAGAGAGTTTGGATTAAGCTGTGGATTTTAACTTAAGAAACAAAACCTTAACATAATCATTCTTAAAAGTAAATAATGCTATTTCCAAAAAGGAAACGTAATAAAACTAAATTTGGAAAAGACTGGATGCATAGCACTCATTTTAAAATGGAAATCCAGGGAGTCACTTTTCTGTCATTATGTACCAGCCTTTAGAGTGAAATTTCTCATTAAATATCCCATTTCTCTTGTATTCAAGAGCATAAGATAGGAAACCCTTCCTCTGAAGGACTTGCTCCAAGGCACATACTATCAAATCTTCACAAGCACACACATGAAATAGAATTTGATATCAGGGTGGACATGAATGCTGTTTGAATATGCGCAGTGGTCCTCATATCCCTCGTGCTGAGATGGGCTCAGTCACTCCTTCAGTGCTGAGGTGAGGAGAAGAGCTTGGAGCTCCTGGGAGCCACTCAACCCCAAAGGAAAGCAGAACTGTGGTTCTCTGAGTGAGAATATTAATATTTAATGGTTCAGGTCAATTAGATAGGGGGCATCCAGACTGGCTGAGACTGGGGGAGTCGTGCATACCACTCCTTTTCATTCCATTCACTTATCTGAGTGGAAAGGGGGGAGAACTCATCTGCTCCTGGTGTGCCCATGCCAAGTGCCCATGGGCATGAAGAAGGCCAGTAATCTGACAAAATGTTCCCTCTTCTGCTCCTGATACATAGATCTTCACCTCCTCCGTACGCCTAGACAGAAGTGCTCTCTGGGAAAGCAGATGGCACCCCTTTGAAATAGTTTCTTAGGAATGGGGTTTCATTGTTTTCCAGACCCCAGCATTTCTCTTAGTCCATTTAGTTGGCAAACTTGAACCCCATCATGGAAAGCAACCTGAGACCTCAGAGGAGATACCATAATCTGAAGTTTTGTGCCTGTTCATATGTCCCACCAGCTGGCTATTTGGTATGTTGGTTGCAGTGTAAAGTGTAGAAATAGGAGAGCATTAAGAACCAGGGCAAATGCAAAGTGGTCTTTTCATTAGGAGGTCATTTCTTTCTGAAATAAACTGGTATCCCTCTATGCATGTGGAGGATGTGATCAAAGATATCAGCTTGCATAATAAAATCTAGAATGAAATAATACATTGCTAATTTGTTACGGTAATTGCATTCAGACTTGTGCTGTTGGTAAGCTGAGAAACAACAAATAGAACAATAATGAAAATAATATGCTTTAAAAAATGGTTGTTCAAATGTCCTTAAGGGATCTGATTTTCTCTTCTTTAAGTATGCCACATATATTTCATATATGAAACATTTCAAATGAATTATCAATATTACAGTCCACTTGCTACCCTAATTCATCTCTCATTTGGAGGAAGACATCCTTTACTCCTGTCTCTCTCCAGTCCATCCTCCATGTTGCCAATGGAGTTGCTTTTCTGAAATGAATTGTACTAGGTTGTGGAACATTAATTCCTTTTCTTTTTTTCATTAATCCTCACCGGAAGATATTTTTCCATTGATTTCCAGAGAGAGTGAAAGGAGAGGTAGAGACAGAGAGAAACTTCAATGTAAGAGAGACAGACATCAATTGGTTGCTTCCTACACATGCCCCAACCAGGACCAGGGATTGAGCCTGCAACATGCTCTTGATGGAATTAAACCCAGGACCTTTCAGTCTGCAGTCCGATGCTCTACCCACTGAGCAAGACTGGCTAGGGCTGGCATGTAAATTCTTAAAATCGCTGGTAGTTAACATCGCCACAGAATAACAATTTAGCCAGCCAGTGTGTGAGCAGCCATGTCAGCCTGGCACTGTCAGCTCTGCTCTCTCCATCCCCTGCTGCCTGCTGGTTGCCTTCCCCAAGCCCTCAGCTGCTTCTCACCATGCCAGCACACTGCCTTGCTGAAAATGCCAGATCCCTCCTGATAATTCTTCCCCTCCAAGCACAGCCCTTGAAGCCTGGGTCTGATGTCTATTTATCAGTCATGAGTGTCCCTTCAGGGAGTCCCCAAAATAGAATAAATTGCTTAGTCCCTCTATTTTTAGTATTTTGACCATTCCTTTGTTATGTCCATGCCTCTGTTATGTGCATATGTTGAGTGGAACTTATATATTTATTCGACACACATTTACTCAGGGCCTTCTGATATCAGGTGCTGGTTACAGCTCTGCCCTGAGAATGGTCATGAACAAAGCTCATAGAGCCTGCTCTTACAGTTTGTGTTCTGTTGGGAGGAGACAAACAGTGAACAATAAACATAATAAATAAATAACATTTGAAATAATTAATATGTTAGAACAGGGGTGAGGAATCTTTTTTTCTGCCAAGGATCATTTGGATATTTATAACATCATTTGCAGGCCATGCACAATTAACAACTTAAAATTTAGCCTGCTACATTTGGTCAAACATTTAATTAATTCACCCCTAATGACTTGCAGGGCCAGGTCAAATGATTTTGTGGGCCTTATAGCTGATTTCCCGCACCCCTGTGTTAGAAGATGAGTTATAAAGAAAGAGGAGAACAGGGTAGGGGTTCCGTAGTCAGGGTCTCATTGAGTAGGGATGTTTGTACAAAGACGTGACTTTGCAGATACTTCCAGGCTGAGGGAGGAGCTAGTGCAGTGCCTATGGTGAAAGCCAGTGGGGAGGCCAGGGAGCAGGGTAGGCAAAGTGATTCAAAGCATTGGGGAATGTATCAGGGAGAGAAGGGCAAGCAGCGAGACCAACTTCAAAGATTATTCTGCAGTCCTAGCAAGAGCCAGTTGGATCTGATCAGGGCACAGGGTGAGGAGTGGTTGGCTGTTTTTGTGCTTTTCCCTTGGCTGTGACTTCCTGGTGGATGAACACTGTGTCTGTCCCCCTAACCCTGGCACAATACCCAGACTTTCTCTGAAATTGTGTAGAAGTTAAAAGACCTCATCTTTGCTTAGTAATGTCACCCTCACCCCTGGATCATCGTACAGGTGGCAGGTGAGTGTGTCTGAGACAAGCCCCCTGGGTGGTATGAGCCTTTCCAGAGCTGTGACAGGACTTCAGCCCCAATGTGGGCCTGGCCCTGCTGTTAGTTGCAGCCCTCTGCCGAGAGTCCTACTGCCTCATCAACAAAATGAAGACAGTGTTGATTATCTCTGCATCCCATGTTTCTGTGTCCCCTCTGCCTCCCTTCTGCAACAGTGGTCCAGACATGACTCCCTTCTGCTCTGACTTGGTCTCTAATTAATGATCATGGCCAACTACTGCCCTCATATACACATCCAGCATGGAGCTCCAGTGCTTCACAGCCACCTTGTGAGGAGGACACTATGATGGCCCCATTTACAGACAAAGATGCTAAGGACTTAAATGGGGGCACTTACCTAGGTCACACAGCCCTAAGAGGGGAACCAGCATTGATTTTGTGAGCCTTATAGCTGGATTTTGACTGACCCTAGGCTATGTACTGGTAAGCACTTTAGAAATAGAGACTGTCTCTACACTTCCTGTGTATCCCACCCTATGATATGGGTCTTTGCTGTAGGATGTGAACCACGTAAGGCAGGGCCTCTTCCTGGGTTTTCGTTCATGAGTGTCCTCAGTACCTAGAAGGATACTGCTCAAGCAGTGCTTGGTGTCTGGTGAGTAAGTGCATGGAGGGAACTTCCAGGGTCCAGCCCTGACTGAATTATCTCTCTTTTGCCCCTCAGGCCATCTCTCGCCTCTGTGAGGACAAGTACAAGGACCTGAGGAGACCCACGAGGAAGCGGTCAGCAAGTGCTGACAATCTGACTCTGCCTAGGTGGTCCCCGGCCATCATCTCCTAACTGGAGGCTGTACCATCCCTCAGTTTCTCCTTTAGTTTGAGAAAAGACAGAATTGGGGTGGTTTTGTTTTTGTTTCCCTTTTTTTTGTTTTGTTAAAGTCATAGCTCCATCAGGCTGCCTGAATGACTGCCTTTGAGCTGTGTGGCCCACATGCAGCAAGGCTTTGAGGGAAGCAAAATCAGTATTCTGGAAATCCTGTTTCGCACCTTGCCCTGTCATCATTAACTGCACTTCCTTCTTGAAAGATAAAGACTTGAATCCTGGAGGAGGAAGTAAAGGGAAAGAAAAGTTGTGTGGAGGCAGGAAAAATGACATGGCCATTTCTTATATCCCCCACCTGGGTGGTAGATGAATATGACAGAAAACACAACAGTAGCTAACACAGTTAGATGTGCATTAAAGACAAGAGTGCCACCTTTATCACCTCCGTCTGGATCAGTCTGTTCTTTAAGACTTCTTGCATCCCTTCCAGCTGCTTTTTGGGAATTTGGAGGATTTTTGTTGGTTTTTATTGTGTTTTGGTTTTGGCCCCAGAGAGCAGAGAATATAGTTTGTACCATGGCACAGACATCCAAATAAATAGTATTGATTGTTTCTCTCTGCACTATTCCTACAAGCTGTCTTCTGAGCTTTCTTCCTCACAAGTGGATGCACTTGTTACATTTCTCTACCACTTTATTTTATACACTTTTTCTTCAACAATGGTAAAATTAACTTGACAATAGTGCTGAACCAAAAGTATCCCTTTCCTTCTTTATGCCTAACCTCTCTTTCCACCCCCCCCCCAAAAAAAAAAATCTAGGTAACATGGGTGCTTGTGCCTTCCAGTTTTCATGCAGTTTTTTTGTTTGTTTTGTTTTATTTTTTTTAAATCTGACCTGAAGTTGTAGTTATAAATCAGTCACACCTCATGGGCCAGGGAAACAATGTGCAGTAGAAGCTGCCCTTGGTTGAGATTTTTCCCCCAGACTGTTTGGTGTTTGCCTGAAGTTATTGAGTAGGAGCCATTTCTTTGTACTCCCTGCCCAGTTTGTTCCTCTACTTCCGCATCCATTGTTGCAAGCAATATTCTTATCAATTTTTATATGTTTATTTTAAATCAAAGTTAGTCTATTTGTATAAATTTTTTTAAAAATTAAAAATTAAAAAACAGGGATGGGGTGGGTAGTCCAGTGGGAAGATTATTGGAGGGCAAAATGTAACTATTTGCTGAGATATTTTTCACAGAATGATTGAATAAAAAAACCACAACATTTGCATTTTCATTGTGGGTGCTTAGAGAAGTTACACAAAATTCAAACTGTGAAGGTTTATGCTTCATTAATTATGATGTACTTTTTTGTTTTCTGACTATCCCTAATTTCTTTAGATAAGAATCTTTTATATCAAAAGAATTAATGATCAAATATCAAAAAGTAAATGTGTTATTAATGTCTTGAATACCCTTTGGAAATGAAAGGGATTCAGAAAGTTGAAATCCCAAGAACATCAAGCTGGAAGTACTAGTCAAGTTTCAATTAAATTGTGTCATGGGTAAACATAACTGGGCCAGAGACATTGTCAAGTTCTTTCTGATTTAACTTTCAAAAGCAAGAAGCAGAAAAGAAAATTTAATTATTTTTCCATTGTAATTGTATTGATATACTTTGTATGGGTCCAAAGTCAGCTTCTCTCTTCAAGTAAGAGTCTGATTTAGAAGTTTAGAGATCTAAAAATAGAGAAAATAATCATTTTATATTCCCTATTCTATAGAGCTTAAAAGGGACATATTTTCTTAGCTGAATATGAATACCTCTCAAGCATAAATTAGTTTCTCTCATGTAAAGTACCTTATTTTACCAATCCATTTCAAGAAAGAGGTTCTGCTGCCTTTAAAGCAGAAATCTTATTTTTATCCCTTTTATTTTAATGAGATTTGAAAATTGAATTATGTAAATATTTCAATGCATCTATTATTTTGTGGAGTTTATTAAACTACTTTAAAAATTGTATAGTCTATATATTATATGTACATATAGTCTGATAACTTAAAATTTAAAGTGAATCCCATAAAACCTGGCTCACTCTTTGTTTAGGTTATTGAATATTGTTTTAGCCTTGTGCACTGGACTCTACCTCTGTATAGGAAAATTTTCCATATCATTAATAAGTATTGATCTGTATTGGTTATGTTTCTTGCACTAAGAATTTTTAAACTCTGCTGTAAGTGTAGATTTTACTTTGCAGTATGAATCACTTGACACATAGCTAGATACTTTAGGTTTGCTTTATTTTTCTACATGATGATAAAGACAACATTTTGTTCTCTGGTTTGTTCTAAGTTTGCCAAAAAAAACAACAAAATACAAAAAAAAAAAAAAAAAAAACCCACAAAACCCTAAAACAGCAGTATAAGTACAGTAACTATTGATAAATGGTAGTGAATAATTTGTTTGCAAGGTGATTCAATGCACTATAAATAAAGCTGGATTACTCTTTAGGAATACATTGTCTTAAATGTAATTTTGAATGCATAGTTTTATCACTAATGAAGGATGAAGATAACCACACAATTTGTTTAACTTTAGACTTGACTTAAACAACAAAGTCCTTGGGAGAATAAGTATATATCCCAGTGAGTATTTTTGGTTTATTTTACTTTAGTCTTAACTGGGAAAAGAAAAAGAAGTCAGGGATTTAAAACCAAATTGGAGGGCAAGCTGGGAGATACTTCCAAGATCAAGACATGCTCCCATGCCTTACTGCATGAGGTCAGAGCCTGGGCTATGTCTGCTCCGTCCTGGCAGGAGCTTCTCCATCTTGGGGTTTCCCTTGGTTCTGGGGATTTTGATCCTCAGCTGAGCTGCAAAGCAGAATTTTGGGAGGGAGTGATTTCAGTCCTTTCTGGCTGATTTTGGTAATCTCACATTTTGGGGCCATATTTTACAGTTTTGAATTTTTAAAACCAAGTTTCATTCCTGGTTCATTGTAGGTATTTAATAAGTGTTAAATAAATAAATGCAAAGAACAAATAATGACTGCCTTCCTGCTGCATTTTTTAAATATTGATATAAAGTTTATAAGGTTTTATGGATGCTGAATAAACCAGTTCTTTGCAACAGTAGTCAAAAAGTGTTCTTAGTCCCATAAATCTTGAGTGACTCAAAGAAGTATTAAGACCTCTTAGAAATCTCGAGCAGTTGAGACAATTGCACACTAGAGACCTAATAGAGTGCCTCCCATTTATATCAATGACTTATTTTATCTTTAATAACTTTATCCCCCTAATTTATAAGGTCCACTCAAAACTTACTTTGGGTGGACCTTATAAATATGGAGCATATGAAAAGTCAGTCGGAGAGGCCCCACCACCACCACCCCGTCTTGTTGAAAGGGAGGAGGAAATGGAAAACATGCCCTTGGGTGAAAAGAGAAAAGGATACTTAACCAATTTGGGATTTATATTTTAAGCTCTATGATTTTAAGCAAAGCCCTACACATGTCTTCATTAAGATCATGGTTTGCTAAATGTAGACGATTGCACCTGAAAACAAATCGCCTTACAGATGCCATATAGGCCTCAGCACAAGTGGGGAGGGTGTGGAAGAATACAGGCAGCCATGGGAATTGGTGATGGATTTTGGACTTGAACAGGTTAGCCAACTTTCTTTCCAATCTTTCCTGTTCAGTTTTCTTAGTACTAAGTTTGTATATGTGAAGCTGCTAAAGGTCTACTATTGAAGCATCTATGTCATCTAAAACCTGCTGTTTGAAATTTTAACCCTGCTATTTTGCCTTCTGTAAATGTTTGCTTGCTTGCTTAAATAATAAGGAAAATAAGACTATGCCAAAGAGGCCATAAACCTTCCCCAGACCAAGTTATCAGTGCTGGCGCTAGGCCAAGCCTTTGGTTGAGGTCTCAAAGCACCAGCACATAGGTTTCTTTAAGAACTTGCAAAAGGAACCAGAAATACCCCATATTTGGGAAACAAGGTAAAGACATAAATAGGGAAAGTTCCTTCAAGTTGGGGCTGGAATTTGAAATAACAGTTTCTCTGGGCCCGCACATAATAAAGTATAACTCCATCTCTCTAAGTACTGCTTGGTTCTTCTCTGGTCTTCTGTAACATGAATGGTTCCCTGAACTATTGGGAAATCAACTGTGCTTGGTTGGCCTTTTTGGCCTCAAGTGAGTGGACCTGGTTTGGGGCCCAAGGGCGCTAGACAGGTCTCCAGGAGGCACGCCCTGCTGATTTAGCAGAATTGAACGGGAGGGGGACACACACACACACACGACGACGATGGACAGACTGAGCGCTCCTGGACCTCAGCCCAGGACCCTGCCAGCATTTGGAGAGAGTGGACTGACACTTATGGACCTCTCGACAGAATCGGTAAGGTACGGGCCCCAGTCAGGCCCACTACAAGTAAGTAGAAGGCTTCCTCAGGCAAATTAATCAGGTATCGGATGGACTGTTTAAACAGTAAATATCTGATAGAAGTAAAAAACTCGGATTGTCTGGTGTACAAATATAAGTGTGAGAGTCTGTGAAGCAAAAGCTACTTTGTGATGTCTGGCTGTACACATGAGAGTATTTGTTACCTCTTTCTGTTGTTCAGTTTGTTTAAAGATAGGCCAAACCCTACTTTAGGGGGAAGCTAATTATGTATGGTGAGGCTGGATGCTCTGGTGAATTGTAAAACCCCCCAAGCAGCTGCTGGGTCAGCCTTTTTTCCAGGATTTTTTGTGGGTTTTTTTTTTTTTTTTCCTCTCTCTGTCAGAAGGAATCAGCCCACTGAAGCAGCAGCAGCAAGAAAAGTGGGGCATGACAGTAACCTGGCACCTGAGTTGTTGCCCAGTAAATTATATTTTACAACATACAATAAAGCATTTGGCTTACTAGTTAAAAGCTTAAAACTACAAAAATTAATTATATATATATATGAACTCAGAACAACTTAGAGCATCTGTGCCCTTACTGCTCTGACACTTGGCTTTGCTGGCAGGATGTAGATGTGCAGGTCCCAGTAGGAGACAGTGCTTCCAACACTAGGTGTCAGGACAGGGCTTTAGGGGTAAGTGCCCTGTTGGGAGATCTTGTGACTCCTCATCCATTAAGGACTTGAAACTGGGTCCCCAAAGAGCAGAGGGAGCAGGAGGCTTGGGAAAGACTCACCAGAGAAGCAAGAGCAGGCAAAAGAAGGTAGAGGGCCCAAATATCTAAGCTGCAGCCAGGCAATCCAGAGATCCCTCAACCCCAGCAGAAATTCTTAACTAGAGTAAGAGCGGGTAAGTGAGGGGGCCGGGGTAAGAAGACCCAGAGCCAAACAGCAGCAGTGACGGGCGGGGGACAGCAGACATTTACCTAGAACTGCAGTCAGTAATGAGTGCTTTACACCAAGCAATACAAGACTTAGGCTTTTGGCTTGCTGGCTACAGCAGTTAAACCAGAAGGCAGTGACTGCTACTAGCCTTCCAACAGCTCAGGAATAGAGCAGCGAGCCCGAGATCTGTGACAACAGCAGATAGAAGTAGTGTAAGCTCCGTATTTGCAAATGTGCTGAAAGGTTTCTGCACAACTCTGCTGCTGCTAGGAGCAGAGGGGCTGAGATCCCTTCCAGTGTACTCCCTTGGGAGAGGCTGGTTGCTGCTCTGCCACAAAGGGGACAAGTGGGAAGGCAGGGGCCCAATACCCAAGCCACTGTCACAGGAGTGCTTTGCAATATGCAAAGCGGTTTC